CAGTACTTCAGGTGGGGTCTCACAAGAGCTGAGCAGAGGGGCAGAATCACCTCCCTTGACCTGCTGGCCAGGCTTCTTTTGATGCAGCCCAGGGTGCGACTGGCTTTCTGGACTGCGAGCACACATTGCTGGCTCATGTTCAGTTTTTCATCCACCAACACCCCCAAGTCCTCTGCAGGGCTGCTCTCAACCCACTCATGTCCAGCTTATATCTGTGCTTGGGATCAGCTCAACCCAGGCACAGGGCCTTGCACTTGACCTTGTTGAACTTCATGAGGTTTGCACAGGCCCACCTCTCAAGCCTGCCAGGGTCCCTCTGGATGACATCCCTTGACCACACCACACAGCTTGGTGTTGTTGGCAGACTTGCTGAGGGTGCACTCAGTCCGACTGTTACACAGCACCAGCCCCAATACGGACCCCTGAGGAGCACCACTTGTCACTGGTCTCCACTTGGACATCAAGGCGTTGACCACAACTCTGATTGTGACCATTTATCCATCTAGTAGTCCATCTGTCAAATCTGTGTCTCTCCTATTTAGAGACAAAAATGTCGTGTGGGACAGTTTCAAATGCTTTGCACAAGTCCAGGTGGAGACATTAGTCAGTTTACAAAATTTAAGAAGAAGTTCCTTTCAGAGATAACAATGATAGACCGGGCAAATTTATGATGTCCTTCTCTTTTATTTACATGGGACTGGGAGACAGACAACGCAGGTTCCAACTTGAGCCCTCTAACAGACCTCCAACATGATAATAATCAAGTTACTCATCTTCTTCATGCAATCTTCTGGCTTCACTGAATTATTTGGGCCAGCATTTCACTTCTTGTATTTCATATGAGTAGAAAAAGTGATCAAATACACTTGTCACATGAAGATAAATACTGCAAACTACCTAGAAAATTCAAATATGTTACAGAACAACAAAACTGTGTTGACTAAAAATACACAAGGATATTTAGAGAGGAAAATCTGATAATGTTCTTCTGTGTTCTTCTGCACATCAGTCTTCTGTACATACAAGTTCTTCACCATTATGTGCTTGATTTCAGTAGGACACACTCTTGAAAACTGTAGTTTTATTATTCACAGAAGGATAGAGATGAGCAACCACAACAGAAAAGTGACTTACACACCCTCTCTCTTTTTAATCATCTTGGGAATCAATTTGTTATGTAGAATCGTCTATTCATTTACTCTACAGCTTTGAAAAAAGGATTTTTGCCATTTGCAGATAGCAAGATCCAGCTCATTTAGCAGTAGCTCGTTTCCCCCTGCTCCATGTTATGCCATAGAAATGCTCAAAAGAGAAATGTCCTTGACACTTGTGGATGCCCACTACTCTCGACGGAGACTTCCAGTATCCATGGCAGAAGATAAAAGCTGATACCTAGTAATTTGATTCCTGACAGCCAACAGGTTAAAAGTCATATAAATAAACCAGCAGGAAATAAGATTCCTGCTTATTCCTGCTTTCACTTGAGCTCTTCATAACCGTAGTGTTTTACAATTGACACTAGGACATTTTGCCCAGTTGCTTTGAGCCCATTTCTCCAATTTGTCAAATTAAACTTTAATTTTAATGATGTCCTCCATATCACTCACAAGACAGTATGAGATGTTCTGCAGTGATTAAGTCATTAATTTGTAGTTTGTTCAAGACATTAAACATTACATAAAGACATTACACATAATACCACTTTCTAATTTAGCACTGCACTTAAGTAAGAACAGGTTTTGGCCAGCTCTAGATGGATGAGCCTGGAGGAGTGTTTCTCCAAACTGCAGTCTCTACAAATAACAGAAAATCTCACTAAAAGTTGTTGGTTAAAATTTCCTATTTATTTTTTCCCCGCTGAATCTAGTATTCAGACTAGAGACTATACTCAGTGATAAGTTCTGACACTGACCTGACTGGGTGCTTTTTTGAGATTTTTATTAGTAGCTCTTAGATTTCCTCCCTGCTTTGTACTTTTGGCTTCAAATGCACAGTGCTGTCCAGAATATTATTTTTATGTTCACAGAATATGATATATAAATCATCAGTTAACTGCCAAACAGCGACAGCTCCTGATAGCCCAGCTCAGCGATGTCTGGAGACTTCTTTGGCACACTTGTCTTCTGTGGACCAAATCCAGGGTAAATTCTAAAACACCACAACTTCCTCTATGAACAAACAAGATAACGTTGGTTATCTTCTACCCTTCTGGACATAGCTGAAGGGCAAGGCTTGCCCACACCTCGTTGCATTCCAGTGGCACACCTACACCAGCTTCACAAAGCCCTCGCTATGAATCACACACACAAAATTGGCACCTCTCATCCTACAAGAGAAGCAATTTAGTCCGACTCAAGCACTTACCCGCGCTCTAAACGTCCGTTTCAGTAGTTGTGGGATTTGTCACTGGAACTTGGCATAACATCCAGAGTGCATCATCTGACATCAGTTATTTTTCCACGTTCACGGCCAGATGGATACTTATGTGAGAGAGAGAGGGAGGGAGGGAGGGATCCGGGCTTCAAAGAGTTAGTTTAAAGCAGCTTCTTTGCCAAAGTTTTCTATGTTATCAATCTTCCCTTAGTTTTCCATGTAGCCTTTTCATCTCTCTATTTCTTCTCAAAGATCAAAGCCTTCCTATTTCTTAAACAGCTAACCTTACATTATGGTTAATCCATGAAGCACCAGGTTTTCTAAGAGAACCATATGTGGAACAATCTGCAGGTTCTTGGGCAGATACTCAAAAGTACAACATCTCTGAAGAGGGCTGAGCTGACTTTGTGGCTAATCTGACTTTGGGGAAACTAGGAAAGGTGACAAGGCAAGCAGGAAGATCTGGAGACACATTAAAAAGGGCTTGAACAGGGTTTCATGACGCATGTCAGGATGTTTGAATTGTGTTGAGATGACTATGTAGGAGGAAGTATGTTTTTAAGGTTAGCACAGAAACATCTCTCCCCAAAGTCATTCTCTTATGGAGAAAAAAGGAGTTACAGCAAAGAGCAGAGATCCCAAGTTGGGGGAGGGTAAATGCAGAAATCTGCCTTATTTCAAAAAGCATGAAAACTGTACATCTTTCTGCACTTGACCTCTTCATTCTCATCGTATGAGTAACCTTTGCACAGATGTTTCAGAAATACTTTTCGACTGGCTAGGATATGTGTGCTAAAGAATAAGTCTTTTCTCTTATTTGGTGGCCAAAACAAAGAAAAGCTGAATTTGTCTGTTGATGAATTAACTCAGTCAAATACTAGGTTAAAAATATTTAAAGCATATTCAATGTTTGTAGTGCCAAATATTAGTTCAATTCCTGCTAAGCAAAACACACCATACATTAACACTTAATACCAAAATTAATACAGCAAACACTTTCGCATGTGGATCACCAAACTATTAAGGCACTGCTCTATCAGATCTAATCTAGAAGCTCTCTTTCTGTATCATTAAGGCACTGCACTGAGATTTCAGTTTGCTCGTTTGGTCTTACGCAGATTTTTACCAAAATGATAGAATAAATTGACAGGGCACCTGAAGAAAAGCTGGCACCAGTGCTGACTTCAGCTTCTCAGGATCACAGAAAACTTCATCTGCCTGTGCTGTTGCTCTGCACTGTTCAGAAACTTTACAATTCAACAGCAAAAGAGCTATTGGGTTGAACATTTTATCAATAACATTTTCAATGCCTGTTTGTTTTTTTTTCCAGAATTCACCAGAGTTAAGCCAGCAAGAAATTCTTTGTTCATTGCTTGCTTTCTCGTAATACTTTGAGGAAAAAACTTCTGTATCTAAAAAACAAGAATAAAATTTTACCCCTGCATGTTCTTTAAGAGTATGATCGAGATCTATTGAGTTTAGTGAAAAGACTCTACGTGTCTTTAAAATATTTAAGTCAAGCTTTTTAAAAGATTTTTTAAAATACATTTGTAACAACAAGAAATCAATTAAAAAAAGGAAAAATGAAGCTCTCTGTTGATTTCAACAAAGGGAACCACCACAAGATCCTTTATAATCTCCCTACATGTTTATTCCTAAAGTATGTCACAGTGGGAACATGCTAGATGACTTCCAAATTTAAACTGGTTAGAGGTCCTTTAGGGGGTTCCTTGTTATTATCTGTACGATCTCACCAAAGCAGATGATGTAGTATCAATAGTAATGGAATTTTCAGTTAATAGATTACTATTGAATTGTCAGGACAGCAGGTTATATTCTTCTCAAGAGATAACTTGAAGTATATTGTTCAAGAATTTTAACAATGGAAATTAAAAACACACATCATCTCCATTCCCAAACTGAAAGAGAAAATCCTGCAAGTGCAGCAACTATTTTAGTACTGAAGGCATACAGAGATTGGACAAAATAGTGCATGAGCCATAGATGATCAATACAATAGTCTAAGTAATTATAGAAAGCTGGCTTTCCCATAGTTTCATTTAATATACAATCAGAAACATATTTTTTCCTGGCTTATCTCCCTTTTCTCTTTCTCCATCTTTTTCACTCCTTTTCTTTCTTATCACTGAAAAAGGTGATGACAAGAGAATAGGAGAAGAATACTGGAAATTGTTATTTTAATGCAAAAAAGGTTAAAGAAGATGCAACTTTTTTAGAGAATCATTTTCTAGGAGTTACTGTTTTAAAATCAGGTATGTTACTGGGCAAGCTCTGCAGTCAAAGAATTCTGAGATCCGTGGAGAAGCAGCGTTACGGAAGTCACTGGACTCAGGGATACCTTGATACGTATGCTTATACACGTATCTGGTTAAATAAAGACCCTATGTCTTATTCCCAACAGAGAAAGATTAAAAAAAAAAAAAGTTGAAAGAAACATTAATAAGTTGGTGCCTTCCTCATGGAACATCATAACTGATGAAGCAATTAAGTTTGAAACATTTTAAAATACTTTTGGTCAAATGCATTTATGCTAAATGACTTCACTCTGACAAAGATCTATTCCTACTCGTAAAGACCGTACTCATCTGTACTTCATTTTCAAACAGGCTTTTTCAAGAAATGCTTCATACTGCAGAGCACAAGATGATGAATATCGCCTAGAAGTTACGACTCCTTTGCAGAGAGTTGACTTGTTCATGGGCCAATTCAACAGTGTTCTGTTAACTTCGATATCTGTCTTCACCAAAGGGAACCTTACCATCGCTAATCTGGGAACTTCGGAGGGGCGCTTCATGCAGGTAAATATTACTACGAGACCTTCACCGTATAAAAAACATACTGGAGTTTAGAAGGATGGTGATGATTGAGGAGCAGTATTACCCAAGTTTAACAGGGCATTAGAAAATTGAAATTGGTGAGTTAAAATAGAGCTTCTAACTAAGTGCCTAATAGAACATTCAGCGTTTTAAGTGTTTACATGGGCTTTGTGGTTTGGAGCAATAGTTTTAGAGTAAATTCTACCATGATTTCCATTTATTCCAGCTGGCTCAGCTCACAGAGCAGTTTTGGTCCATACAAACTAGATTCCTTTCAAAGGAAACTAAACTGAAAGCTCTGTCTTGAATACACAGCAAATATGCTCCAACCCCAGAGAGGTCCAAACCAGTGACTGATTCTTCATACAGCTTCAGATATACACTTCATGTGGTCATTTTGGTCCAGAGGCTCAGATTAAACCTAATTCCATGTAAAATGCCAAGACAGCTTATAATGTAGAAGTGGGAGCATTAGTTGTTTCTATACACTTCTTCACTCCTCTGGCACCAAGTTGCTTGCTAATGTACCCGTAGCCTGTGATTCACAGCTGTAGAATTGAGATTAGCTCCTCCTCCACCTACTTTCAAGTTTCTCTGAGTGCCCTCTAGATTTTCAGGCTCTTGCTCATTCCCATCTCACGCTGTTCTTTTGGACAGGAATTCTTCCTGTCCTAAAACAGGTTTTCCATAACAGGCGGTAAATCACCCTCCTGAGAAGCCTGTCTTCCTCCACTGAGTACATAAGTAATCCAGACAAGTAGATTATACCACGTGACTTCTTTGTGGGTGACTAACAAAATAAATCTTACCCATAACGCTAACAGTCTTTTAAAAGCTTGACAGTCAAAATCAAACATCAGAAGACAAAATACTTCGAAAGCACCTATGGCTCCCTCTGTTCAGCCATGTTATTTCAAGCACTGTCATCCTGCAATGACCACCTTGGAGAGCTTGGCTTCTCCAGCTGCCACACAGTCCAGCCTGGATGTGCATCTCAGCCTGGATCCTTCTTGCACCCAAGGACCTGTGTGCTTTTACTCTGCCGGTAGTATTTGTCTTCTAGTGGGCTTCCCTGGAATTTTGGCAGGTTTTGGCCCTTCTTGCTTTGTAGGCTGCAGAGAGTCAGCAAAGTTAATTTGAATGTTTGTCGTTAACTGGAACCTGATGAGAAGACCATCATTGCTGTGCCCTTCCAGTTTTCCCATTTCCTAAAACCCTCCATTAGGAAATACTTTCATAAAAACAATGTCTTCCCTTTCTTCTCTCCCTTCCCCTCATTCTCTGTCCTTACCCCAAGCAGTAGTATTGTCCCCAGTGCATGCACCCTTTGTGGACAAAGGGAATCCTGAACCTCCCCTTCTGTCTTCTGCACAGACTGGATGCAGAACCTGCCCCATAATGTAAAATCTGTAACATTCCTACAGGGAAGGAGGTCAAAGTGATTTACTGCAAAGGTCAGATGAAAAAAATGAGAAAATCATGTTTTGTTTTTCCCCTTAAAAGATAAGAATTTAATAAAATGTTCAGTGACAAGCCTGCCAGTTTTACGTGAACGTTCCATGGTGACCTTGGAAGTTCTGTCTTAGCGCAGGAAAGGCAAATGTTAAGAGCTACACGCTGAGCACAGGACCAACCTACATACTCTCTGTTCTTAAATGTTGATGTTGGTTCACACAGTGAACATGAGCAATTTGTTTAACCTTTCTGAAGCTATTTCCTTATCTACAAAATGCAGTTAATAACAACTACTGTCTTACTCACAGCATTTCTTCTGGGCTGTCACAAAGCTTTTAGAGAGGTTTGGTGGAAAGCACAAGGCAGCATTATTTTTATTTGTAACATTCTTTAAATGATTCATTCAAGTCCTGCACCACTCACTTCATTCAGACGTTTGCCCAGCTCAAGGAACAATTAAAATTTTTCCAGAATACATTTCCCATTCCACGTTCAGTTACAGATCAAAAGAAAGGCTATTGTGTAAACTGCACATTGCCATTAGCAGAAGTATTCTCATCATTGAATTAGATTGGCTTGAGCTAAAAGGGAAGTCAGCATTGGGCTTATATTGTGATAAGTGGGAGCTGTTTCTTTGAGGATTTGGTGCAACCAGGAGGAGAATAAGCATTTTGACTACCTTTAACGACACTACCTCCAAATAAAAAGGTTAGTATTAGTTTTGCCTTAAAATGATCTTGGAAGGGATGCTAGGTCTGTAGGATACCACAGACACAGTTTTTTGCACAATTTAATGTTCACTTACATTAAATCTTTTTTTTTCTTTTTTTTCTTCACTAATAGTTATCTAGGAAGTGCTTTCAAACATGTTCATTAGCAGATGTCCAACTAAAGCAGATTTGCAGTGTTTCTATGGAAATATAGCTATTAATGCAATGAGATGGAGATTGTTAAAAATGGAGCTATTAAATGACCATTACTGAAGTAAAATGGGTTAAAAAAAAATCAGGATAATCTAAGACTGACTTAATTTATCAAAAAGATAAATCCCCAAACACTTCCTCGCATTTTTCAGCAAAGAAATTTAATGCTGTTCTTTTTAATTTCATTCACAAATGTATTGGAACACACTGCAAAGAATTCTCACTTTTTCACTTATTATGCACTTCACTTTTGCACAGTCATTTGCATTCATATTTTTGGCTCTTTTTACATACATATATTGAATATTCCTGTGCAATCTCCTTGTAACTTATAGCTATTCAGAGTTGAGTATATCCCTTCAGAGAGAGGTGTGCTTTCAGAGAAAATTAGTTGCAAAATTCTACCTATGAGGGAACTTGTTTTAAATCTGGTTATATTGTATTAATATCTTGCGAATATATTTTCCTGCCAACATTCATACATAGGTTTCTAAAATTAGAAAATCAGCTCAGCCCCTGCAGTGAATCCAATTCATGTTGTGTCCTTTTTGAAATACCAGGCCTTACCATATTTAGTCAATTTAGTTTGTGACATAAATTTCAGTCATCCATGAGATTAAAAGAAATAGTTGCACAGCACCTCTGTCTCTGACAGCTGCATCCTGAAGTGCCCAGATATGAAACAGCTTGGTGAAAGTAATGAACATTTAATTCACGTTCTTTCTGTATTAATTTAGGGTTTCCTTTAATTGTTAGGAAACATTTTGGGGGATAAAAACCCAGATGTTTAAAACATAGTGATCATGCCACCTAAAATGAGCTAAAGCCCCAACTCTGTGCTGTGGAAGGCAGTAGGTGCAGCAATGAGTTATTGATACTCAACCTGAGAGAAATTTATTTGAAAATATTTCTCATGTTGTCCTTGTATACTTGTTTATACTTGACCAACAGCCACCCACTTGAGTCTCCTTCTTTTCTGTCTTTCCTTTTTCTTACCATCTTTCCATCCCCTTTTGCATTTCTTCTGCTCGTCACTTTCTGCCTTCCTGCAGCCGCATCATCTCTGTTTCCATCTCCATCCATTTTTCTCTCTTTACCACATGACATAGCACAGTATTGCTCTAAAAGTCAGTAGAAGGTTTAACAAGTAATTTCCAAGAACAAAGTTTTTCCTTCTGTGGATGATGGCTACTTGATTCTGAGGCTTTGATGTATTTAGAGATGTATCACAGTGAATGGTTCCTAACTTTACAAGTGATTCCCCTGAAGCTTATGACATTACCCATCAAAACTGTGCTAATGACTCCACTCAGAATACAGCTTGTATTCAACTTATTTTTAAAAAGTCACCTGAGGAGCCAATAATAATCAGAATGCAAAAGCAGGTATGCTTTAACCAACCAAGGAATAGTCACCTGTTGTTTTCTGCTTGTGCTTTTAGTTCAATTAAATAGAATTATTGACTTAAACAGCCCTGGAAAGCACTAATACTGGAAAGGAAATAAAGCCTCCTTCACTATTTTTTTTTTTTCCTGCCTAAATCTAAAACTACAATAAAATCGATCTGGATGGTCCAAATACAGAAGATTCATGAGTTCTTTTAAGAAGGATAATTGGGGCCAGGAGGTGAATTCCAAAGCTCTCCTGGAGAGTAATTGCAGCCCATTGACATACTGAGCATGTTTTGGCTGCATCAGAAACGTTAAATCTGTATTTGGCCATGAATAGATTGAAGTTTGTAGTTTCCAAATATTGTAGAGTTTCTGTTACAAAACAGAGCAGTAATAATTTTTCTAAGACAGCTGACATGCATGAGGCGGAAAAGAAAAATGGTTTTACTTCCTTCCTAAGCTGGAGCCTGACAACAAGCTTTTTTTTTTCCCCTCCCTTCTTTTTTTTTTGCTGTTGAGAAGTTGCAGCTGTTTTGGCCTTTCTTATTGTGCTTGTTTTTAGAGTGTGACTGGGAACACAGGCTGAAAGTACAGCTGTTGGGTGCAAAGTGAATCAGGTATTTCACAGTGGTTATTTGATTAGAAAACAGCACCCAGTCACACTGCTATAGCTGAGGAATCACATTTTCAGCTGGTGTAGAGAAGCCTTACTCTGCTCAAACCAAAAAAGCTATGCTGAGAATACAACTTAAAACTGGAAAAGACACTTTCCTTACCAGCTGATATTTTAAGAAATTATAAGTTATAAAAAAAAAACCCAAAACCCATAACATACTGAGATTAAATATCTTCTATTTTTGTTCAGTTTCAAGGTGATTTTTTGAGTGTTTCTGCGTGGAGCTTGGTATTATTTCAGGGAGTGACTCTTGAGTGATGAAGGAAAGAGCAGAGTTCTTCAGGAAGGGGAAATCTTTCTGATAGCTCTGGGGAGAGTGGGGTATGGGAAAGTTTTACAAGATTTATTCTGAAAAGCTCACATTTGGTCTGCCCTTAACAACAAACAAGAAACTGATGCCTTTGTCATATGCAGAGGCTGATTTTTGGCAAAATGCTGTGTTTAGGAGAATACTGCATCTGCTCCCTACACTCAAACCTCACCTCACCGAGGTGAAGCCCAAGCAAATGCCCTTGCTAGTTGGTGACATTCCCTCTT